ATACAATATGGGACCAGTTATTTTAAATATGTTCACATAAATGTTTAGATAAAAGACAATACGTATAATCCTTCTTTTTTCAGCAACATGAAAAGGGGCCTTTTAAATGTGGTATATGTGGCGATCCCTTTAATGACAAGAAACAACACGAAGGTGGGGGCAAGTACGGTACAATGATGATCAGTAGATATTATCCTGCAGGAATAAAAGGTACAACATATTTTAACTATTTTCTAGATAAATATTTATATAAAAAAAGCTTGTATCTCTATATATGTACATTTCAATTTCCTTAATATACATACACATATAAAGTAATAAAATAATAAGTCATTAGAGAGGTTGTTTCTCATATAAAGATGGAAAAAATAGATAAAAATAAAAAAATAATAAAAAATAAAGAAGAAAAAAACATGTAAACAAACATTCACTCATATAATATTATCAAATCAAAGAACTCTATTTTCCATTATTAATTGCCAATATGATTAATGGTACGCTGCGGTAGTAAAACACTAAATTGCACGTTTGTGGGGTGTTCAACCTGTTATAATGGCGAAATACTGTCTATAAACAATAATATAAATAAAAAAATATTCTTAATGTCAACAATATTGTCAATAAGATTGTTGTGATTTGTACAACACAACAAACTACAAGGTTTAGGTGATTGGCAGATTTTTGATTTATCATTTACAATAATCTTTGTTTAGTTTTTGTTGTGTTTGTTTTTTGTTGCTGTTTATTTTTTTATATTATTTTTCAAAGCATAAGAAGAATATGGATCGGCGAATAAAAAACATTAGAAGCGTACGCCTTAATGATTTCATTACACAATACGAGCACATTTTACATAAAGTAATAACAACATAGGTCTTAAACCCATGTGTAAAAGCAATAAAAATCGTCATTTTATATTTTTATTTACTTATATGAGTCCCATTCATTTATATAGGTTTATTTTAGTCCCATTAGTGTATAAAGTTTACAATGCACTTGTGTTTGTATAAATGCAGTTGTTGTTTTTCTTTTCGAATCATTTACTTCAGACAGTGTTATTGCACGTGGCGGCCTTAAAATCGCCCACTGTGTTACAATATTCTTTGATTTCATTCCTTTCATGCATCGGGTGTCGTATATTTTTTTCTTAACTGTATTAATATGTATTTCCATTAGAGGATAATATTTATCTGCTAAGTGTGAACTTATTCGGTGGCTTTTTTTCTGATCAAACGTTAAAACTGGCGTGTACGAGTATTTAACGCGATTATAGACTAAACAAAACCGCATTATTGTGTACATAATAAATTATAACTTTCTTTTTCATTTTAGAAATGCCGGTGAAAGTAGAGCTGCTTGCATTCGAGAAAGGATTTTTCGAATTTCGACTTTGTAATGCAGACATTTACAACATCACACAAGAATGCCTGGATGAAAATATACTTCCAATTAAAGAAGGTAACGTTTAAAATACATATGTTCAGAGACCTTAAAAAATGCGTGACCGAGATTTTGAGGTAATTTAAAAAAAATTAGGATGTTGTTTGGTTTTATCGACAATTTGATGTGATACCGGTATATGATATTCGCCAAGGAAAGATAACTCTCGCTTAATTAATCTTCTGCTAAACATGTGTTTTTTCTTCTTCTAAAATTGCATTTTATAAATAGAAAAATTGTCCGCTAACATTTGTGATAGTGATACAATCAGAACTGTTTCTTTGGATAGTTAATAATGTTAACTTCTGGAAGTTTCATTAATATATATTGAAATTTAAGTTTGTTAATTAAATATAATGCGATAATTATCTAGGAAAGGTAACTCTGAAAAAAAACTTTTCTTGGTTGTAACCTACTTTATATCAAGTCTCAACGGTGTCCCATAATCTCATTCCAACCGATTTGTTTAAAAAGTATTGACATCGACTGAATGAGAAATGAATATATAACATAGCAAAGGGCAGAACTGACCAGCCGAAGAAAAGGTTCTCTATGTAGGGGTTTATATACTTTATTTGAGGAAAATCCATTGTAAAAAAATGATGTTCCTATAAATAAATACCTGAAACGACATTTTCCTACTTCTGAATGTTTTCATAATTTATGGCATGCATTTTTTTACTTGTGTTTGTTAAAACTTTGAGTATCCTTTCTATAAAAACTCATTTTACAAATGAAGCAGACAGTAAAAAAAACGAGCTTCACAATGAACAATTTTATTAGTCTTAAATCGAGCGGTTAAACAAAATTATTATGCTATTTAAAATGATGCATTAATGTGTTGATATATTACTTTTTCAGTTTTGAATTTGTTTTTTATTTTTATAAATTATGTAATATCTAAAGCGAGCAAGTTTCTACGCAACTTTCAACGATGTGCAAATGTAACAAATAATTCTTATTTTGTTCAAGGGAATGGGAGTGGGGAAATAATCACTCCGGCAACATTTTAGAATTAAATTTGAATACGTAAAAGTACAGTTTTGGGATCCAATTTCGGGATTCTTTCACGTGAGCTCTCCAGCTAACATACGGAACATCGTTGATTCTACTCAGGTTCTTGTACGAAAGATCGCCTGAGGTTTTCCTACACCACTTAAGCTGGAAAGTCCCTATATGACCTCTTCTGTGTTGCTGCAATGTCAAATCTAACCAAAAAAGGGTTTACGTTCTTTTCTGAAAACCTTACATGTTTATACATTTGTAATCTGTTTCTACTACTTTCTATTGTTTTACCATCATGTTTAATTTACATATGGATATTTTATATTTAAGGTTACCTTGCTGGGACACCGTTACAGTTTTTCCCGAAAGGTGCCGGAGATTTCCGACTTACAGTGGCAGTACCGCCGAATCTCACATGTAACAGATGTGTTTTACAATGGAGATATCACACTGGTACGTTTAATTCAATATACGTTATCTTGTTATATGACATTTCATCATTAGAAATTTGAACTTGGTTGAACCCAGATTATGTTATATAATTTTTAAAGGCACATAATGCCTTAGACATGCTATCATTTTTATTTCTCAAAATCTTTATATTTTTGGTATCTTGTTACAATTTCAAAATGCCATATATTTGAACTAGCTTTGCTCCTCTTTGCTTTGTTGACAATTGTAGTGAATAAGTATTTTGTATATATGGAAGTCAAGACTACTTTGTTTATATTCTTAACGACACATTACTGCACTTTTAGCGCTACTTTTCTCGGCTGTTAAAAATCTAACATGCTCTAGATCTAACATTAAAACATTATTAAACACGTGATTGACATTTCTAAAAAATATTAATATTTTTTTTTCTGTCAGAGGCATAACGTGCCTTTACCACTGAATAACCATTTCGCTGTTCTGTTCATATAACCGATATACCCTCCTCATTTATGGTAATAAATAATTTCATCTGGGATATCTTGTTTCTTGTAAAGATTAAATGAGCCGCGTCACGACAAAACCAACATAGTGCGTTTGCGACCAGCATGGATCCGGACCAGCCTGCGCATCCGCGCAGTCTGATCAGGATCCATGCTGTTCGCTTACCAACTCTTTTACAAGTAGAGAAACTGATGGCGAACAGCATGGATCCTGATCAGACTGCGCGGATGCGCAGGCTGGTCTGGATCCTTGCTGGATGCAAATGCACTATGTTGGTTTTGTCGTGACACGGCTCAAATTATTATTGTAAATTATTTTTCAGCCAATAGTTGGGGTACAGATCCTATAACAAATGAACAAGGTATAGGATTAGGACCACAAGAAGAGTTCCGAAACTGTGCTGATATTCGTATAGGTGGTGAAATTCCTAAAAGTGTCCGAGACAATCCATTCTTTGCACCGCCCGATGCCAGGTATGAAATATTTCTAAATATTTTATCATTCCAGATGATTGTAATATATATAATAGATTAATGTTAAAGATAAAAACATTTTTTATTTCCATGGCCACTGCTGCTTCACGGTAACTCTTTAGGTCTTTTATTAGTCTCTCAATGCAGACTTTTATAATTTTTGAAAAGGATTGGAAGATCATTTCGCAAGTAAAATTGTTATCATTGGATAAACTGCAGCCTCCATTATCCTAAAATTCTGGAGAAAGAATGATCCCTCGAAAGCGTTAACACAACAAAATTACATGAACATTTCAGACTCGGTTTGATTTAGTCTGTTCATTAGGGATACATGTAATAAAAAGGTGCGTTTGAGCGACTCTTAAAAATGCTGAAATCTATGATCCCGAAGAACCAGAAAAATATAAGAACAATAAGTGAAGTACGGGGCAACATTTCATATCTTACATTTTTGTAGATACTGTAAACCTTATCTAAATCCAATAGAAATCAGAGTTTATCGGTTAAGTTTTATTTTTTCAAAGCCTAGTGGTTACAGCGTCAACCTGTAAATCCAGGGATCATTGGGTAAAGCCCTCCTCGGGAAATGATCATACTTCCCCAGAATGAGATGACACCTGTACTGAAGTATGAAGTCATTCGGTAGTTCATGTTTTGTTGATTCATATCCTCGTGAAATCATATGGAAATTTAATATTTCGGGTCATTTTTTGCCTGTAGTAAGTAATAAAGTACAGTATAAATATAATATTAATTCCACTCTCTACTCTCTACAAGACAACTTCATGTAGTTCTGTTATATCCTGTTTTGAAAGAAAAACTGTTTTATTTGTTTTAGGTCAGCTTCAGCGATTGACAAACCGACCGACCAACGTAAAAGGTTGTCATTGCAGAACAAACCGATTTCTGTAAAACCAGCGTCTGTGGACCATCTATCTTTGAGCGCAAGGATGCATCTTCATGGAGGCAATGATGGAGGAGGGTTAGCTGAATCAAATGTTGGAACTATGTCTTCAGGGGGGAGTCAGAGTGTTTCTGGCTGGGTCAAAGGTACAGCAAGTAAAACGAAGGAAAGCTCAAATAGAGTCCCTGACCTTACAAATGGTAGGAAGGCGGTAGACATAAATCAGATAACGACGGAAAAAAGAACGGAAAGAATAAATTTGATGCCAGTGGTGAATACAATGGGAAGTTTAGAAAGAAGTCAGAAAATAATACAAAACGATTTGGGTGCAAAGCAACAAAACGGTTTATTTTCTCTAGATAATATATTACACGATACATTTACGGGAAAACAAAACGCTAAGAAAGCTGCATCTAAAGGGAAAATAGAATTTATAGGAGTTCAGTCAAATACTGGGGACCAGAATACACGAGAAACTGGGCGTAAAGTTAGTACAATGACAGCCAGGGACGGGAATAGTGGTAGACAATTAATCCATGGCATTGCATTTAATGAACGTATGGATGGGCTCCTGAACTCTGGTAGTATGGACGGCAAAACATTAACCAATGTCGACAATAGAATTTTAACTGCAGGGATAGACGGACAGTTGACCTTGGACAAAGGTCAAGCTAGTACTGTTGATAATACACACGGACAGAGTCAATTGTTAAATGATGTCATGCACATAACTTCCAGTATTTTAGACTCAAACAGAGATGCTTCAATGAAAAACTCTTTAACCATGAGTGGCTCAACTGGTCAGCAAAAACTAGCAGACAGACGTATAATAGGCACTAACAATATATTTGATATGGCAACCGGAGCCGTTGGGCCTGCTCCAAAACCTGAAAAGAAGGCTAGTATAATAGTGCAGGGTGCGAGTATCGCTGAAAGTTCATCCCTAACAGAAACCGTACCAATGCAGGCAGCAACTAGATCTGGATTGTCGCTTTCAAGGGATAGGACAGCTAACCAAAATAACCAGAACAACATTGAAATCCCTTTTTCTGGCAGCGGTATGTTTCTTGATTTGACACAATCTGGTATAAAGACATCGAGCATTGATGCTCATTCAAATACACCTTCCCAGTCTATGGTTCAAGACGGACACACCGGAAATACACTAGCATCTTTGAATAACATAGTCACTGACATGGCAATAGATGGTTCCCACACAAACGTGTTAATAGACAAAGTAAATACAAATTCTAACTTAAGCCCCTTTGTCCATGATACTGTATCAGGAGAATTAAACCAAACGCCTATCGGGACTGCAGGTACAAACAAATTTGATATGAATTTGCAATCATTTGGTTCAAACGCAAATTTTGGTGGACAACAAATAGTAAACAGAGAAGCTTTTAATATTGGAGGAATGACAACACACACTGGGCAAAATATTGCTACAGGACATTCAAGTAGTACAGGCATAACAGATAGGCATGATGTTCAAAACGAAAACCCTTTAACTATTTCTGCTTTACAACCACAGGACGGTCGACAACGCATTTTTCTCCTCAGAGCCAGTAGACCACAGGGAGTTATATTATCTAGTTCTACTAAAGGATCCAATATGGATATGACTATTTCCGAAGGTATACAACCAGGTACAGGTATTGCCCGTAAAGCCGTTAAAGAAACAATGAATAAATTTTCCTCCGATAAATCGAACATGGCAACATCACCAAATAATAAACAAGTAGACAATTTAAGCATTGGAACAAGTCAACCATCCCCTGACATGCTAACTAATAGTTTAAACCCAGTTTTTCAATCGGATATCGTTGTTGATGGCAATGCATTTGCTTCAATGACGGCATCAGAAGTTATTGATCCTTTACGAACACAAACACAGCGGTCGGATGGTGGTATTGTCACTGAAAAGGATTTTCTACCAAAAGGACAAACAACTTTGATTGCAGAATCAAAGTCTCAATCGTCTCCTGGACAAGTAGCTGACGGAAGTCTTGGTAATGTAATTAATGATGTAGATGCATTTAGAAACGAATTGGTTAAGAGTTCCCTCCGACAAAGTGGTGCATTAATATCTGACATGCCTGTAGCAAAATCTTCATTAAACGCTAAGAAAGATGCTATTCCTAGTATTGCTAGTACAAAACAACACACAGAATCTAGTAACGTAGCTGGTACTAGCCTCCTTGCGTCAAATGAGGTTGGAGGGAAATCAGAATCAAATCTTGGCCAGACTGTAAGTGCTTTATTAAACGAAGCTGAAAAGATACTGAGCAGAACTACAGCAGATATCTCAAATGCACAAACGGCAACTGCCTCAAACTCAAAGAAAGATAAAGTTGTTAAACCAGAACCAGTTAAGGAAGTTAAGGCTGCAACCTTGGTCACTTCTCCAAAAGTATCTAAGTCTGCTCAAACTTCACACCATTCGAGTATTTCAGGACACTCTGGCAGTACAGTTGGAACTTTGGGTATATCGCCTGTATCAGAAGTAAATAAAATTACTCATGATAAAACAATCGTAAATGAACCTACTCCGTTGCAATTGTCATTAGAATATCTACTTGGAAATACCCATGGTGGAAATATAGATCGTTCAAATCAGATAGTAGATAGTTCTCATGGACATGGTGAACATATTGTTCATGTCGGAACTATGAACAGCGGTGCTTCTGCGGACAGACATTCGTTATCCTCAACCAGTGATAGTGCACATGTGTTAAATATGTCTCCAAGTATTCATGACTCCATATTGGGAGCAAACCCGTCAGTACATTCTGATACTGCTCATTTAAATGAAGTTGGCGTTCTTTCAAAAGGCACTCAAGTTTCACATAAGACATCTGAAGGAGCGAAAGATAGTTCACTAAATATTAATACAGGTCAAGAACAAAACAGTCAAGCAACCCACACAGGCGGACGTGGTGCAAACGTTGATATTAATCGGCATGCATCGCTTTTATCTAACTTGGATATCATTGGCCCTGATACAGGAATTGTATTTCCGACGGTAGGTGTTAATGATATATCAAATATTAAACAAAGTGCAGAAAAATCAACACATGGAAGTAACCAATTAGCACAGAAAGTAACTACAACGGGTTCTCATTCTGATATTGGCTTATTAGGTAGTGTAGATAACCCAAGTCAGAAAACAAGAACGATTTCTGGAAGAATTGACCAGAGTTTTGTTGACCAAAGTATAGGTATTATCGACAGTTCGGAAAGCGTTAGTAAAGGTAACACGAATCGACAATCTACAGGTGCAGATCAAGCTGGCGTGACAGCAAGTCATCAGCTGGACAGACATAATTCTGATATGCTTAGTGGGAAAAGTACTATCAATGAGGGCCGATTAGGCGGAAATATTATTGATTTCAGTTCGAATTCTAATACAAAAAGACAACCAGCAGCAAGTGTGAATACAATTGACAGCCGGGTAGCTGCTAATGCAAATGATTTAAATCGATTCACTGTCGGCCAGTCGGTAAGACAGGGCGACAATTTAATTTTAGATCGCAATATTGGAAGTGGAGCCGATAAACCATCAACGCATAGTTCCAGTCAACAACCCTTAACGGGAATTTCGACATTAGGGACAACTGGAAACGTACAACTTATAGACACAGTTACCGAAACGCATAATCGCGTTGTTAATGAATCGGTTTCTAGTCAGTCAGGAAGACGGCGGCTTGTTGGTGGTAACAATATAGTACCAAACGTTGTCCAAACTAGACCTGTATCTAATAGACCGACTCAAACACCAAAAGTAGACAGTGTAAGTATAGAACGTCAATTAAATTCTTTTAATCTTGAAACTATACCGGGAAGTTCTGTCTTCGGTGCAGGTGTGCAAATGGCTGGTGATGGAGGAATGACAGCTGGTTTTGGGCCGAGAGATTTAGATATTCATAGAGATATAGTGTTAGAAGACAGACGACTTATGTCCAGTTTTGACAGACAAGGAAGAGGAAACGGAGATATTTTAAGTGGCAGAAGAACACAGACATCTGACGGTAGTTTTCGATTGGCAACAGATCCAAGAACAGGTTTGGAAAGAAGAGTTCCTGTAGAAGAAAGAACACATGGCGGTCACATGGACAGTGCAATGGCAGGAAGCGTTGATAGATCACATACACCGGGAGATCATTCAAGTTCTGGTACTTCTAGTAACCCAGTATATTTTCTAGATATGACCGGAGGGTCTGCTACGGGTTCAGGGCTGATTGACAGTATGACAATTAATAAACTTCCGCCAATCGGTAGTAGAAGGAGTTTGTCTGACAGACGTTTAATTGAATCAAGAGATAATATAATAGATTCCACAAGACAGGGTAATGCTGACCTTGGAATAAGTTCATTTGATCAATTAGTCGAAAGTTCGACGTCTAATCTTGGAAGAAGAACAAATGGAAATCAAGGAGGAGCGACATTTGATATGAGAATGGAAGGCTCAAGATCCACAACAGATACAGGAAGTGGGTTAAGAGATGGGGGGATGAGGAGGCAAACAGAAGGAAGGAGAAGTGGATCATTTGATACGAGTTTTGAATCTGGATCTGTTCGAGGTCCAGGCGTTTTATTGGGAGACGGAACAAGGGAAGGGTCGAGAGGAAGAACAGAGTTTGTTCGAAGGGAGGGCTTACTTGATGCCAGCATTGCACGATCAGGATCTGCCAGGGGCACTGGTGAAAGAATTGGTCAGGCTAGAGATATTGGTAATGGAGGTATAGGATCTTCTAGAGAGGCTATCATAGGGTTTACAGATGGTGTTTCTAGAATGGAATCTAATATGCAAACTGATGGCAGTTTAGGAGGTGGATCAGCACGAACTGGAAGTCGATTTTCAGAAAGAGATGTAAGATTAGATTCTAGAAGACGTACCGAAGCAGAAAGAAGAGTGTCAGGCTTTGATGTCGGGATGAGGGGATCGGAAATGACATCTGGTACTAGTTCTGACTTTAGAGGGAACGGTTTTAGACTTGATTCTAGAGGACACACAGGCGGTGAAAGAAGGGGTGTGGACTTTGATGCTGGGTTAAGAGGATCTGGGGCAACACGTAGTGATTTTGCAGGATTCAGGGAGAGCACATCGAGACTTGATTCTAGAGGTCGGCCTCGAGGAGAACAAAGAGGTACAGACTTTGACGCCAGAATGAGTGGATCTGAATTAGCAAATGGAGGATTTAGGGAAGGAAGTTCAAGACGATTAGATTCTAGAAGGCGTATAGCGGGAGAACAACGAAGTGCAGAATTTGATGTTAGAATGGGTGGATCCGATTCTTCAAGTGTCGGTACAGGTCGGGGATTTCGAGATGGTACTTCAAGATTGAATTCTATACGAGGCACAGAAGGAGAAAGAAGAATTGCAGAATTTGATACAAGAATGGGTAGTTCGGGTGCATCAGGAATGGAAAGTTCAAGAACAGGCTCAAGAAGAGCTATCTCAGGAACAACCAGAGGTGAAAGAGGTAGCGATAGAAGACGAGATGGCGCTATGTTTTCGGCAAGAAGAGGCGAGGTAGATAGCCGTGGTACTGTAAGAAGTATGCCTGCCAGTTCATCTGTCGTACCATTTGGTGGACCAATATCTTCTGATGGCGCATTTGGCCCAATGATGTCTAGGGGAGGTTTTCCATCTGCAATGTCTTCATTTGGTGGACCATTTCCACCACATATGGGTCCTGGTCCAATGTTTGGTGGTCCAGGAATGCCATTTGATGGAGGTTTTTCAGCAATAGATCCGGCGTTTGGTCCTAGCCTAGGTGGCCCTGGCTTTTTACCAGGAATGGGATCTCCAATTATGGGACCCCCAAGTATGGGTCCAGGTATGGGCATGCCTCCGTTTTCACCTATGCCGTTTGGTCCAGGTCTGTTATAATCAACAATTGAAAAAAGTTTCATGGATTGACTTTATACGTGTTGCAAAATATGACAGTTTTGTTTAAAAATTTTGTTAAGTCCTGGCGTTAGTGCGCAGGTCACGTTTATTATAATTGTGATTACATTTGTGATGATTTTTATCCAAAATAAAACAACAAAAAGACAAATATTGCATAGGTGAAATATAATAATATAAAATCATACCCATACTTTTGCGCTTTATATCTCATGAGTTGTATTACGATTGACTTACAGTAAATATACGTCACATATTAACAAATCATTCGAGTAGAAGTACATTGTAGTAGGTGCATATATCACATTACATAGTCAAAAGTAGTATATATCATGATATAATCACAACAAGTTATTTAAAGTTGGTGTATTGTTGTAGATACACTTTAATGTTTCCATTCTTTGTTTAGCTTCTGTCAAGTAATTTCATTTAAGAACAAACAATTCTCAAATCATTCCAATACTCTGGAATGGATTCTCATAAAGCAGTATTTAAATGAAGAAATATTATTAATGAATGTTGTATCTAAGCAGTGAAAACTAATCTTAAATATATTACAATTGTTTTATCTCCGTGTGATGCGATTATTATTAAACATTATAAATGTCTTAATGTTTTAAGTGCATATACGACAGCTTATCGGTTCGTGGTATGTTATACTAATACCCATTCACCGCTTGATGAGGTTTTAACCATATTTCAGATAATAATAACCTTTTATGAAAAATATGTACGAAATAAATAAAAACAGCATTAAAACAACATGAAAAGAGCTTTAAATTTTTCTAAAAATACTCATACTATTAGGTAGCAATCACAATAACTTTGAGAAATCAATAAGCCTAAATGAAAATACCGCCAAAAATTTCATCAAATAATATAAAAAATGAAAACCTGTTCTTAAACACAATAGTTAAATATGTTACGGTTAAAATGTTCAGGATGTTTTATCGTTCATTAGCATGTTCGTTTCTTTTAGTTTTGTTTCTTTGATTGTTTGTCTGTCTTTACATTGATTTATACACTTTTTTGGTCATATAATGGCGGTCGGACCAACTAATAGGCTTTTGTTGATAACTTACCAGCGACTACTTATTTTCCATAAAGATAACAAAGTTTTTAAATGCACCGCCATTTTGCAAGAGACACGTGATGTGTCTGTCGTCAGTTTTGACACTCGTTAAAGTAACAAAGCTGCGAGGATATAGTGGTCCGGTATTTGACATAAAAATTGTTGAATTCTGTTTAAGCCGGTGCTAGGGGGCGTGGACGGTAGTTCGCACTTGACAGTACCGTCCATAAACAGGCTCAATCAAACCGAGCCTGCAACATTTCAAATTTTGACATGTTGGGCTTTCTTAAGGGATTCTTATTTTCTCTATTCTACTTTACCTATTATGACGGAGGTATTTTGAAAGCAAACAAATAATGAAATATAACATGATCATCTGTATGTCATATACAGCATAATATATCTATCAATAAATTGCCCAATGTCATTTAAACCTAGTCATTTAATTTCGGACTTATTTAGTACTGTATAACGCGAATTTCAAAAGAAGGTATTTATGCCGACAAGTTCTAATGCTAGTTGTATCATAGTTTCGGGACCTTTCAGTTAAAAATGTGTCAGAGTTAAATCGTATACATATACATACACAGTGCGTGAACTGCAGTGCAGGTATTAGTTACCCGCACTGCAGAGTGTGTCCAATTTGCTGGGGTTTACATACTGTGACGGCAGCGACAGAAATATAATATTTAGATGCTCTTTTATTGGTCATTTTTTCCGGGGTTTTATATTGTGACAACAGGGGACGTGTTTTTTATGTTTGACTATGATACAAAAGAGAAAGAACATCAAAACACTCGGCAATCTGATTAATACTCGTACAAATCAGATAGCTTCGTGTTTCTATGTTCTCTCTATGACTTAATTTGAGAGACGATTTATTCATTAAAAACCGTTATTCCATATGAATTTATAAGAAAGTCCAAACACTACCTACCATGTACAGCTGCTTTTTTGACAACTGAGCGAAATGAGATTTTAGCAATAAATCTACGTTTCATCAATGTATAAGCACTAACATTTGTGTTACATTGTTGTATGTATAATGTATGCAGCTCTTGTTCATTGCATAGTCCTAAAATAGTGAATGTATATACATAATATATTCAATTTTAAACAGAAATAATGACTTGAGTAACTTTATCGTTTTTATTTATTCAATTTACACACGAAAATATCATGAATATTTTAGTTGGGTCACATTTCCCAGCTATATACGATTTCCGTTAAAACTAAAATGTGAATTGGTGTCTGCCCACTCTGTGTTCGCCCATATATGATCTAAGGCAAATTTGCCAATGATCACGCTAAAGTCTGTATACCGCATATACGGTAATGGCTTAAAACCTCAATGAGATTCAACTGAGCATGGAAAAAAATTAGATAATTTCATTTTTTCGGACATTTTCTATTTGTGCTAAACTATAAAAATCATTCTAGCCATAACTGTCATGTCTTATAACGCATAGGTTTCGAGAAACCACAAGAAAGGTTTCAGCATAGTAGAAATAGAACAGTTCTTAACGTACATTGTAGTTTGATATAACAATACATTTACAAAATTTCAATTATTGCTTGTTTTACTGAAAATGTACCAAATTGTACCAAATCATTTGGCACTTCAAAATATGAAGAACTACTCTGTATGAGCTTTCTGCAACAGGTCGGATCCTTTTCTGCACCGGGGTGACACCATATGTACTCATGTACAAAAAGAATCTTTGACTTACAACGACAACGTTATATAATTTTACTCTCATGAGATAAAGTTTGATCTCGTATAAAATCGCACGTTTAATAGTTTAAATTTAATTGAATGATAAGACTATATTGCACTAAATGACCGACCTATTGGCCTTTCCATTGATAAACTCATGTCTATTTAAGTCTATATACAGCTCAGGATCAGAGTTAGCTTATGTAATAAAAATGGGGGATATAAAACACGCACAGAAATTAAGCGCGAGGTCGGATGAGGTACGGGTGGTGGACGGAAGAAATACATCCGGGACGGTCTCTTGTTTACGGGCTGCAGTATGGTTTGTTTCCCTTCTAACGCTAGTTGGGGCATTTGTTTTGTTGAACTATCTTCAATATGACCAGATATTGAAACTCCGGCAGAGGGTGGAATATTTAGAAAATAACATTTTCATGTTTGATGTAAGTTGAAATGTTTCATATTTTCATGTAATGTGCAATTAATGATTGATTTTCAGTATTTATAACCATATTTCTACTGCGATACTAACGCAGTAAAGCCTATTTTTGAACATTTTGACCTCATTTTGGTAATTTACATGGGTTGTTAGTGCTGTTTGTAATATGTAAACTGCTTCCTGTTGGTTACTTCATAATATTTTACTTACATTTAAAATTAAACATGAATCTGGAGGCAGGCTGCTTTAAAAAAAGATCTTCGGATAACTACGGTAACCACGATTCCACTTCGTGTGCATTTTCAGATTGAAATGTTTGTGTATTGCTACAACTGTAACACTATGACATTATGCATTTATAAATATTTGGTGCACATGTAATAAATTACCATGTAAATAGTGGGCGCACATGTTATAAATAACCATGTGAATGGTTGGTGCACATGTGATAAATAACCATGTAAATGGTTGGTGCACATGTAATAAATAATCATGTAAATGGCTGGGGCACATGTAATAAATAACCATGTAAATGGTTGGTGTACATGTAATAAATAACAATGTAAATGGTGGTGTACATGTAATAAATTACCATGTAAATGGTTGGTGCACGTGTAATAAATTACCATGTAAATGGTTGGTGTACATGTAATAAATTACCATGTAAATGGTTGGAGCAAATGTAATTAATAACCATGTAAATGGTTGGTGCACATGTAATAAATTACCATGTACATGGTAAGAGCACATGTCATAAATAACCATGTAAATGGTGGTGTACATGTAATAAATAACCCTGTAAATGGTTGGAGCACATGTAATAAATAACCATGAAAATGGTAGGAGCACATGTAATAAATAACCATGAAAATGGTTGGAGCACATGTAATAAATAACCATGTTAATGGTTGGTGTACATGTAATAAGTAACCATGTAAATTGTTGGTGTACATGTAATAAATAACCATGTAAATGGTTTGTGCACGTGTAATAAATTACCATGTAAATAGTGGTGTACATGTAATAAATTACCATGTAAATGGTTGGTGCACGTGTAATAAATTACCGTGTAAATGGTTGTCGTACATGTAATAAATAATCATGTAAATGGCTGGTGTATATGTAATAAATTACCATTTTAGTGGTTGTTGTACAGGTCAAAGCCAAAATAACTTAAGATTTTGACATAATTCTTCTTAATTAATCTGTATTATCAATTAACCACTTGACTCATATTATATTTGATGAATATTCTTCGGAATATATCGTTTCAATTGGCAAAGTGCGGAACAATTTTTTTTCTATATTTTAGGCAGTTGTTATTTTTTATCCTAAACATTTTTTGTTATTAGTTATTTGTCAATGGCAATTATAATAGTATTCTTTTTTAAATGTATAGGCAATTTAGCTCAAGTCTGTGCATTATGATACTTTAATTGTTTTAAAAGTAATTCCAATTCCATTGAAGTTTCGCAAACATGAACATAAATAGATATAGAACGAACCCGCCTTCAACTCGGTATACAAAACTTAGTGTTGAAAAAAAAAATGTTAAACGTGAAGAAGAAAACATATTTTTAACATCTAGAAAAATTTACTCTCAGCTATCTGTTTTATGCAAAATATTATATCTATATTTTACATGCAAAGTGGAATGAAAAATAATATATGTACAGAAAAGAGAATCATTTTTCAAATCCTTAAACAAAATGTATTACTCTAGAGGTGGGCTTCTCTAAAAGAATTACAGAATGAATGATTATAAATGACACAGTTGTTTTTAATTTTAAATAAACTCTTTATAAAACAAAAAATAAAAAAAAACATACACCTACAAGAATACAAGAATGATGTACTATAAATCAATGTATTGTATTTATTATAGAAGTCAATCGGCATACCTCAAATTGAAAAACGTGGATCCAATGGACCTGCTGTTTCTGATCTTATAAATGACCTTGTTCGTCAAGAGGTAAGAATTTGTGACGTCAAGTCGTCATCAAAATTTATGTTGCACGTTGGACTTTCGCCCTTAAATATTAGGAACCTTGTGCATGTTTTTTTTAAAATTTATATATCGTTAGTATTATGATTTCCGACTTTTCACTCACTGAACACTACTCACTGTAGAACAAACGCACATTATTTACTGAGGAATTTTCACATAACGATCGTAACTCACTGTACACTACTCACTGTACAACGCACATTATTCACTAGGAACTCTCACAAAATTATCATCACTCACTGTACACTTCTCACTGTACAACACACATTATTTACTAAGGAATTCTCACACAACGATTGTTACACACTGTACATTGCTCACTGTAAAATGCACATTATTCACTAAGGAATTCTCACAAAATTATCATCACTCGCTGTACACTACTCACTGTACAACACACATTATTCGCTAAAGAATTCTCACACAACAATCATTACTCACTGTACACTATTCACTGTACAACGCACATTATTCACTAAGTACTTCTCACACAATGAAAGTTACTCACTGTATACACTATTCACTGTACAACGCACATTATTCACTAAGTACTTCTCACACAACCATCATTACTCACTGTACACTATTCACTGTACAACGCACATTATTCACTAAGTACTTCTCACACAATGGTAGTTACTCACTGTACACTTTTCACTGTACAACGCACATTATTCACTAAGTACTTCTCACACAATGGTAGTTACTCACTGTACACTACTCATTGTACAACACACATTATTCACTAAGGACTTCTCACAAAATTATCATCACTCACTGTACACTACTCACTGTACAACGCACATTATTCACTAAGTACTTCTCACACAATGGTAGTTACTCACTGCACACTACTCACTATACAACGCACATTATTCACTAAGGAATTCTCACACAATCATCATTACTCACTGTACACAACTCTCAGTACAACGCACATTATTCACTGAGGAATTCACACAAAATGATCGTTACTTACTGTACACTACTCACTGTACAACACACATTATTCACTAAGGAATTCTCACACAACGATTGTTACTCAATGTTCACTACTCACTGTACAATACATCTGATTTACAGCAATTATTATCAATTTATTTTTACCATAGTTGGAGAATCACTGTGATTGCGTAATTTTTGTACTTGAACACATGTTAACCGTAATCCTATTTTCCTTTCTTTGTAGGTGAAAAGAGCTCATAAACTCTGTAAATGTCCAGGTAACCACATTTTTTCCTTAATAAAATTAAAATGTACAAAATTATTATTTCTACAGACGGGAAATTTTATTTCAAGAGCTGCTTAATAGCGGTATTATTAGGCAAAATGCGTTTAAATTTGACAATACCGATTAAAAATTAAGTAGATCTAAATGCGAAATAATAGTGTTGAATAAACTGGAGAACATCCATGCTTCAAGACAAAAAATAAACAATGAATATGTAGATCTATAGAAACCAATCAATTTCATGCTCCCGAATAAAATGTAAAGATGTTAAATTCAAATAACAAATAGATATGCAAACCAAAAACGCACCCACAAACATCCCCACACCCCTTCCTACCTTACTCCTCCTCCATTACAGGGGACTCTGACACTAGGGAAGCGGATTTAGGCTGTGGAAAAAGTCACGTAAGAAGACAAGCTCCATCCGGGTCACAGTGCTGCACTTCTTTATGTAAGATATGTGTTATACTTTTCAGGACTAAAAACAAAAATGCAGATAACTCTTTAATCATTTGCAATGTGAAAATATTAAGAGTACTGTCCCTTGGTGTCATAAAGAAGCTTAGCTTCTCGTGCATACATGTATATAAACAAAACAAACAACATACATGTACTATTATCTTGAGCAAACAACACAACAAAGTGTGTTTAAAACGTCACGACAGATAACACATTCTCCACCAAAAAAAGCTCAAATCCAACACAACATTGTCTTCCATTATCACAGCATCATAAATGTCATACAAGTTGTGTTTGTGTGTTGCCAACACAACGTGCAGCAATATAGAACACTTTGAAACTTGACCACAGATTCTGTACCGAAACTTATAACTATACTGCCTGGAATGTCATCAAACACCATGTGTAATTTCATGTCAACACAGTATTTTAAAACTTCACAAAATATAATAATCTATAATGTCACGCAACACTATGTCGAACATTAAAACACATAAAACACATCGTCATACAATCACGCTTATTACCTTTTCATTGATTACTGTAGCTAAACCATTCTACCGTGGCAACTCCACGGTAACAGTGACGTCATACATTGGACAAGAAGTAGTTCTGCCATGTGAAGGTACCGGATATCCACCACCGACGGTGTCATTTAGTCCGTCGGCGGATCCAAGAGGGTTAAACCGCTTTGTGAACACAGCCAATGGGCTCATGATTAAAAATGTTCAAACCTCGGACAGGTAAGCTAATGACAGTGTTGATATTTTTCATTTACAAATGTGTACTACTTTTTCTTCGCCTTTTACTTTGTTGATATTTACCTTCTTAATATATCCATGTCATAATTTTGCTTTTTAACTTTGTAATCATTGTCGTACTTATTCAACACAAGATTTTGGAACTCTTTTCCTTCACAATTCATTACTATTTTTCCGTGGTATATATTCATGTAGTTGATATGATGCTATTAAAGATGTATTTTTGAATATATTTTTGACAAATTTGCTAATTTTGTTATTTTTCCTTCACAATTAAAAAAAAACGAAGACGACAAACTAAAAACCCACTGCGCATTCTATAAATAGAACCTAGCATACAAGTCTGCGTCTCAACCAATGAAAGCGCTTTTTACACCTTCATTTCTTCTTTTTCGCATTGGCCCCGGTCCTTAAAATTAAGTTTGTTCTACTTTCTGATGAAGCAGTTTGGCTGCAAAGCTGTGCTACAGACAAGTCAGAACATCTAAAACAATATTTATCTACAGTTTGTACATTATTATTACTATAATTCACGTAAATAACAAATTATTTCTTTCTTTCTTTTCTAGTGGGCAGTATGTGTGTACAGTTCAGAATATATTTGGGTTAGAAAAGAAGATTATAAATCTACGAGTTACAGGTGAATGGTTTTAAAAATGAGAACAAAAACTGAATTTCTTATTCTGACTTAACAAATTATAATAATATTATAACGTGACATCATTTAGGACGTCACGTCATTATGTTGGTTTCTTGTAGCATACCTTTTGTTCATACCTCGGCAGTCGGTCCACCAAGCCGGCTTTCTCCGATAAGTAATCAGTAATTCCTAATTTCAGCACAACTGAATGTCGAACTATTAAAAGTCTCGTGAATTTTAAATCAACGCTGAGAGACAAAATGACCATAGATCAAATGTCACCGGCCCGATGTTTAACTTGTATGAACAAATCCTATGATCCCCCGGGCGGACGCGTTCAAGACAATTTTAAAACTAAATTTACAAATTTGAAACATCAAAACTATATTTTGAATCCTAAAGCTTTGATCTTGAGATGCAAAAAATGTTACATTTAAAATCCATTTCATTGAATGACATAATTGTAAATAACAGATCCAGTTGTTGCCACAACTTCACCCACCAGTGTAACAGTAAACGAAGGAAATTCCATACGAATCCAATGTGACGTCACCGGTAATCCCACTCCAATTGTCACGTGGCAACATAAAAGGTTCGATGGCGTCATTGTCCCAGGTATTTGTTTTTAAATTCTTATTCTTCATTAGTATCATCATTAACATCATCATCATCATCATCATCATCATCATAACCGTCATCATCATCATTATAACCATCACCATGATCCTAACCATCATCATAACCATCATCACCATCATCATAATCATCATCATCATCATAACCATTATCATCATCGTCGTCGTCGTCATCATCATCATCATCATAACCATAATCATCATCGTCGTCATCATCATCATCATCATTACATGAAGTCAGTTAGTTTAAATTTGTAAGTACGTGTTTTAGTCCTATCAAAACAATCCAGTGCCTATTCTGTAGACCATGCAAATTGTTCTCATTTTGAAGATTAAGAAGATAAGCCTTCTTAAACATATCTATATATTTTCTTCTGGAGTTCATCAGATGTAATAATATTCTTTCCGTGATAGACATGATATCACCTTTTATCTTGATTCCTTACAATACTGCTATCTTGTAGAATAAACGCTAGCTATATATATAGTACTATGCATCATTATTAATTTTCAGTGATAGCTACTCCCTCTACAATTATCACCGGAAACACAATTACTATTAACAATGCCAAAGCGTCCAACTCCGGAAGTTACATATGTCTTGCCCAGAATGCCTTCGAGAAAGACGAGGCCTCTACAACCGTGAGCGTGATTGGTAAGTCTTCAATATTTTTAATTAAAAGTGGATTAATTAATTGATTCAATGCCAATCGTCTTGATTCTAAAAATAGGTTAACACTGTTCCGTTACTAAATATAACGTCAGCTGCTTTGCTGTGATTGGATTGTTTACTGCAAGTGCTTGTTTTTTCTGTTTATCATAATGACGTCATGGCATCTGTGTTTCTATGCAATAAAAATCATTGGAAAGTTACTTGCCAATTGCTTTTTATATTAATTTTATCATCATAATAAAAATGTGAGGTGGAGTCTCAACGGAAGAGGAGAAATAGATAAATAGACATTATTTTTTCCATTATGGGTCATGTATGCATATTTTATTTGATTTATAGTTTCGTTTTTATTTTGCTCAGGAAAACCTCAGATTGTTACACCACCAAAGTCTCAGACTGTACTTCAAGGTTCAACTGTCCGACTATACTGCTCAGTAGCATCGAACCCGCCGGCCACTGTCACGTGGACATATCCTTTGGTAGAATATTTTTAATGTCTTCAAAAATAAATTAGTTATTGCCTTTAATATGGTTGATTTATCTTGAATCATTGAACCGTTATCATATTTACTCTTACATCTTATTCAAATAAGATGTTTTGAAACATACATTTATAAGTAACACATATTTTCTACAACGGATTACAGTTGATAGTTTCATGTTGAAAATCTTTCATTAACTAATCTATAAACAAATAATATTCAAATCAGGCAATGCCATAAAATAATTGTGTTGCCATATTCGTTATACACTTGTAAACTGTAATTTTATAACATATTCAATTCTTTTTAGATTGGTACCAACGTTTTTACTCGTGTTTACTTTTAGACTGGTAGCAAACCCCCGCTGAACGCCTATATCAACCCTGACAATTCTATCACACTTTCCAATGTTGACAAATATAACAACGGGGATTACCAATGCGCGGCTACCAATTCTTACGGCACCGTTTACGCACAGTCAAACCTCGTTGTGGAAAGTAGGTCATTTGTATGTAGGTCAATGTCACTGATGGCAAATCAATACGAATTTATCATATGATACAATTTTAACATTGTTTTTCATTATATTATTTGTGAACAATTAACAATATAAGTAATGTATAGATACAGTCAGCATACGGAAGATCGGCGGTTCTACTCTGGTTCCCGATCACGCCTGAAATAACGCAGGGACGGTCACATATTAACATTTTCAATCAGGTATGCTTGACAATAGCCATATGTCCATAACACGATGTGACTTTTAATTGCCACCAAAAGGCCTATACTATGATGATCAATTTGATTTCTTAAACGCATTTCATATGTGACTTTTTATAAAATTATTCACCTATTTCTGGAAGCATGTTGCAAAATAATAATTACATATGTATTTAAATAGAGACTGTATCAGTTACTACGTCACCTCACCTTCAGCCAATGACAGGCACGGAACCGATCCTCAACTTCCAGTGCACAGCTGACGGCATTCCCAATCCTACAACAACTTGGTCAAAACTCGGTGCAGCACCTTTAGCGGGTAAGTTATAAAACACGACATTTAATGCCTCGCAATATACCTGAAAATTCACACGACTTGGTGTTTCACTGCTTGGTTTTTTACCGTATGATAGTTTTTAAAGGAACTCCACTGAGGTCCAATAACACCAAAGACATGAAATTTAAATTTCTTACATAGTTTAGCTAAGGCACTAAAAACAGAGATATAAATAATTGAAAATCGTACTTTTGTGCTACTCTAAGCCATATTAGAGTGAAAAGCGTTGTTTAAGTCACAGTGGGCACTGCATTGTTGTACATTGTCTTTACCTTGTTTATTTGTTGTTTTATTTATAATCTATAATATTTTTACCGTGGTTATAGGTAACAGTAAATATATCGCATTGTCTGGGGGTAATCTTATAATAAGTGGTCCCAGTTTGACCACTGATACAGGTGTGTTTGAATGTAGTGGTAAAAACAGGAACGGTAATGCAACGGACAGTGTAATTGGTATGTTAAAACAATATTCTTTTCATGACACACTAAATTTTTTAACTTATAGAACTGAAATAATAAATATTACGGCAGTGCCCTTGAGGACCTCGGTACTTAATATTTCTGTGCATTTATAAGAATGAAAAGGACTTACTTCATCTGACTTATTTTTACGATATTGTTTGTTGCATCTTTAGTGAAAAAAAAATACGGAATTCATCAGTTAAGGCTATTATCAATGGTTAAGTTGTCATGTTTATAGGTGGTGTAACATATGCAACTAAGCTCATGTTGAATAAAAATTGCGATACCTTCGGGGACGCGGTACCCGCGGGAACTGCTTATAATTCAATGTAATAAGTTCTGAATAAATTGATACGATATTTGGGCACGTATTATTAACTAAGCTGAAGAATAAGGTTGGAAATTTGTTGTTATTTTCTCATATGTTTATTCTAATATTGGCACGTAATGTGTAAAATTAGTATATTAACTGCTCATTTTTATTTGTTAACAGTTTATAAAGCGCTTGGACAAATAAAGTGCACGGACAAGTTTACGGACATGGTTTGTGCGACTGGCCAAACTTGCGGGTAATCTATTTCATATTACTACATTTGTGATACTTGGTGACTCTTTGATGTCAAAATTGCACCTTCTGTGCTAAGTATTTAAATTATATAAGATATATTGTAAACTTAGATCTTTCCAGTAAGAAAATGCACGTTATACAAATGTTACTGTCAGCATTGAAATATTACCATTTGAAAACAAATCTTTGTAGCAAAGTTATGACAACATTTCTCCAAGAACGTAACATGGACACAAACTATATACGGCACATTATGCCTAAGAAATCCATATTCTTTTAATTCTTTGGAAATGTTGTGTTTTAACAATGTATTTAGAATATATTTTATGTTTTACAACTAAAAAAATGGAGTCGAATGTCCAATAATGTCCCGACAAAGTAGCAAAATATGAACAAAGCAATATTTTGACTTCGGTACAAAGTACTAATTCACTTTAATTATACTAATTGCCAACAGAACAGAAGCAGCATTTTTTTTTTGGAAACTAACAAGATTTAAAAAATAAAAAGTTTTTTGGAAATAAAATTGATAGCATTTCTGAGGCATAATAGGCCTTTAAATACTTGAATGTGCAATGTTCAATGTAAACCATGTCATATACACGTTTTCAAACCAATCATTTGTTTGTTGTCATACATTTTCTGAAATACAAATAATTTATTTGGCCTGTTTAGATAGTAAATGTACCATATGATATATATTAAATTTCAATATTTATGTAATGCGGTATATATGTGCATATATGATGGTCAGTTTTGATTTTATTTTTATTGTTAAAGGCACATTATCTCTCAAATATGATTAAATGTGTTTTTCGTTAGAAAAGGCAAACATGAGTTTATTTTTGTTTAAATAACTATTTAGGAGCATGCTAGATGCGAATCATCTGAAGAAAATAGAGTGAAATCTAAAGAAAGTAGATCCAGTATCTCGGCTTCTATACAAAATAGTGTACCAACTGCTTTTAAAACGCAATTGAAGAAATAGATGGTTCATATTTAAGGCCAATGAATATTTTTTGGAAACGGGACACTAGAAATAAAACACTTTTGATAAATAAAAATGAAAACATTTCTTTGGCGAACTGGGCCTTTAAGTAGTTCACTAATAATGACGTTCAGAATGTCAGTGCTTTGTTTGAATGACGTCATGCTGACGTCATGTATATATAATTTTATCTATCTAAATAGTGTTTCTTTTTTTCAGTGGCCATTGTCCAAATAATTGCATCTTCAAGATATGGTATTGCACGGCCGTGCATATATTTTGACGTGACGTCATTAGCGTTATGCAAACAAAGTATAAAGACGCGCTAAATGTTAGCGTTATACTACAAGTGCGTCAATGAAAAATGACTCTTTTTTTCAATTTAAACGGTCTTTATTTTGGGTATGTGATAAATAGAATATTAAATTCGTGTAAGTTCAGTACTGAATTTATTGCACTCGTTGAATAAAATGAGCCAGAGGCTCGCATAATATAATTTTATTCAACTAGTGCAATAAATTCAGTATGAAACTTACACTCATTCAATATCCTCTATATCTTAATAGTGTTTCTTTTTTCAGTGGTCATTGTCCAAATAATTGCATCTTCCAAGGACAAAATGTATACGGATACAACACATACTCTATGGTTTGTTTAATTTTTTTAGATTTTTTTATTTTATTTTATTCCAAACAAATGCAAAGTATATTTTCTTTGTTATTGAAAAAAAGAATATTTTCGTTACACCCAAAAAAAACATAGTTTGTATAGATGTAGGTCTACAGACACAAAACAGTTCTGACAAATTTCAGAATCTTAACTTCTTGTCCTATCAATCGTTTTATGTGTCTACCTCCGAATGCATCAGTCAAGGAAATTTGATTTGAAAGGTACACCACTGTTCAAGAAGCATTCCTTGGGGAAGAACATGCATAGTTATGCTATTTTTAAATAGCCATTAATTAACAACGTGCGTATGTTCTGACATAAATTTTACATATGAGCCACGTCACGACAAAACCAACATAGTGCGTTTGCGACCAGCATGGATCCAGACCAGCCTGCGCAACCGCGCAGTCTGATCAGGATCCATGCTGTTCGCTAACCAACTCTTTTACAAGTAAAGGAACTGATAGCGAACAGCATGGATCCTGATCAGACTGCGCGGATGCACAGGCTAGTCTGGATCCATGCTGGTCGCAAACCCATTATGTTGGTTTTGTCGTGACACGGCTCATATATTATTTATACAAGCTCACTTCTATTGAGTTTATGTCGACTTCTTGTAGATTTTCCGAGGGATTTTTCTGTCATTTGCCATTTAGACATTTAAGCCAGTTAATTTGCTAAAACATTTTTAAAAATTGGCTTTGGCTATTGGTTTGCTTGTCAATATTATGGTAATTTGTAAACAGGGTACCAATTTAAATTCAACTTTAGTAAAAAGTCAGACACTTGCTCTACCAATACAATTAGTTCGGGTATGTATATTTAAATGAATTTGTGCAAAAAACGTTTGTCATAATAACTTTTAACTTCATTTCAGGACTCGACGATTTGCAAGGCTGCAACACACGCAGGAACACTTCCGAACCCCAATAATGACCCAGTTATTTGGACTCATGTACCAAGTGCTACCTTTATAGGAGTGGTGACAAATGGCATAAGAAGTGAAACGTAAGTTTGCCTAACTTTAACTAACCGGCAAAATTGCTGTAAAGCCAAAATCATATTGATTTGATATTTATGTTGTAATATTCTTTTCATCGCATTTTAAATGTAGGGGAAACAGTTTGGACCGAACGTTTGAAATTGCAATTGTTAAAACCAAAGATTTGAAGTGCTAAATGTTTGCAGACGACACTTTAGCATACACGATTGTACTGAACCTGTGTAAGCATACATAACATAACATTTTTGATCCTTTAAATGTTAGTGTTTTTGCAAACACCCATACAGTCTAATCGGCCTTTAGACTTTAATCTGCAAGTATAAGCATCTCTTTGTCAAAATGTCTTACTTTGACAAATGGTTATTGTTTATAATTCACTGAAAGTTGAATAAAAGTCAAAATTGAAACCTTAAAGATCTCCGAACACTGCAAAATTGAAAATAATGCAGACTCGATTTGTTTGAGCATAGTCGTGAACAATAGTTATGCAAATCACGCCCATCGCTCCCAAAGCCCCGCCCTACATCCAACTCCAGCACTGGAGCGGTTTAAGTATATTTCATCGTTTAAGCACACAAATTGTACAAAATTTAGAATAGAGAAACATCTGCAAATTTTACAAACACTACGTAACTGTTACAATTAATTTTCGGTTGTTGTTTCTTCCATTCCAGGCACGCTTCTTCTGATGGAAATCAAATACTACAATCCTCCACCGGGCGTTCCTCATCCGGGAACGCTTTGATTGGTTGATTTGTCATCTTCTGTAATAGTTTCACTCGTGTTTTATTGAGTTTTATTGATAATAAAAGGATTTATTACAAAGTATGTTTGTTTATTTATTTATTTTCTTTCATTTTTTTAATGTTTTGTGAAATGTCTCCAAACTCTAAACATAAAAAATAATAATAAATATAATCTGGCATACGTAATTACAATGTACCTAGATAACCATGTTTTCGTATCAGATACAAAACCGGTTATTTTTTAATGTCCAATAAGGATGCGATAACGACAGAAACATCCGTGATCAGTCTAGTCCTGGAGTTGATTTAGTCCAAATATTTGACATGTGGTCCCTTTTTTCATTGAGACGATTTCTAAACTAAAAATACGCCATGATACATACTAAATTGCGATATGAAACACGAAGGAAGACGGGGGCTGCGTCCTGTGAACGTTGCCTTTGCCTGGTTGATCTTTATTCTCGTCTTTTACAAGTAACTAACGTATAAATACAGTAAAATCTGATCATGGCAAAACGTACGAAATACTAAATGTTTTAGAATAACGCGCACTAATGAATCAATCAATATCAACTAATGACTGGCAATATTGTAGATTAAAACAAAGTTTTAGTATTGCATTATTTTTGTCACGTGAGAAGGCGGCTTGCACTGTATGACGTCATTATTAAAGAGAATACCAAAATGGCGGTTGGCATACATGTTCATAAGTTTTCACACTCCCTAAAAGAATGATAAGCTAAAGTAGGTCAACATAGGGACCCATACGTCTTATCTTAACGTTATCCTTGTAAGGTCACAGTTCAAAGTTGTTAGTTCAATCACTGATAAGTGTATAATTTTGTGTCGCAAATCAGCTTAAAACTGGCATAATTTAACTTAATTTGAACGGGTTTTTTTTGCAACATATTTCATCTTCGAGGACAAGTTGTCGTGATGAAACAGATGGATAGAGATGAGCTTATAGAGCGTGAACTTGACAACAGAATATGTCTGCATATTCTTGCAATTATTGCGATTGTTTTCTCTTCAGTGTTTGTTATAATAACGACCTTGGCGGTAAGTAATTTGTCATATTGTACCATCTGGTATCTTATTAGATTTCATGTGAACATTCTGAAAAGGGCAGCTCCTACGCATGCAATGAAAACAAAAATAAAATCGCAGACTCAGCTATTTTTATTCTCTAACACCCACTAGCACCGCCTTATGCTTCATTAAATATTCAATGCAAAACAGTGTAAACAATGATCCCGAAAGACCAGAAAAAATATCACCGAGATGGAGGATGGGGTGCGGGGGAGCTATTTCAAAGCTACCACAACTGCTTAAACACCTGTTGTAATGTGTATTCTATTTCGGGTATGGTACGATCCTTGAGAACAATCAAAATTTAAGTCTTATTGAATTGATTGAACATTTCCTGGGACTTAAACTCAAGTATGATATGTTTTGTTCAGAGAAAAATTACATGATTTTGATCGACATACATGTGTATGGAAAATGAAATAATTAAGTTGTATAAAGAGAACACAGTCTCTGAAAATTGAAACCATATTTTGAACCATATTTAGCTTCTCTCATTCCATGTTAAACAAAACTTACTAATAGCAAGACCAATTCAAGCCGGGTTGCATTTTTTAACCAAGGCTATTACAAATTTGAGTGGGAATGAGTAGCATGCTTTGATGTCTGTGTCATGTTTGCCGATGGATATAATCGGCATACTTGTACATATAAACAGAAAGTATCAAATGAAACAAACAAATGAAATCGTGTTAATTAAAAAAAAAACATTGAAGATTACATTACACATGAATATTGTTTTCCAATCCGAATTATGAGTTGACTGTTAAGATACGTACATATACATGTACGTGATCAATAATCATTCTAGTAAGTTTCCAGCATATTTAATAAATTTAGTATTAAAGAAACCTTTTCTAGGCAAAAATGTAATACAAAAAATGCAGTAAATCATTGCCTTTTTCTACGAGATACAACATATATTTCAAATGTTCTTATACTTCTTCTAAGGAATGATAACACATCATATGATGTCAGATATGACATCAATATACTATAAAACGTCACGACAATTAATTCCGTTATGTAGTTTTATCAACATATAAGAATGGAAATGAATATTATCACAATAATGCATGGTGAATCGAACAAATGCTTTGTAATTAATCACCGATGCATGCAGGCCTTCCTCGTTATACATGTATTACCGGAACTCGAACCGTGCATATTGAAATACAACTTATATCAATTTTCTGAATATATTTCAATAATACTTGATCAACTTGCCAGGTTTTAAACATTCGTGACATAGATGCAAATGATGCTGAAGTCAGACTACAGATTGAAAGGTTACAGGAAAAGCTGCGCACTTTCAAATTGAAGCAACAACAGTTGGCCGATAGTGCTGGCGACATGATCAATGAAATGGCGCAGCTTGTAGAAAATGGTGCCGTGACCAGGATGGAACAACCATCGGATAAAAACGATGAAAGTGAAAAAACATCAAACACAGGTTCAATTTAAAGATACTAATACATTTATACTCGGTTAGGGTTTATATTGTTTAAATTTGTTAATGGTTTCATGCATATAAAGGGTGGAGAGATATATCGAATTTAAAATGAATTGGCATATCGACAATTCCACAATTCATTTGTTTTCTTTCTTTTCTTTTTTTTTTTTGTTTTCTTGTTGTATTTGGAGATTTTTATTGCCATTGTTTAGTTGTTGCTTTGAAGTTTTTGTTGTTATTATCAATGTGTTCTTATTAGGTTTTTTTTTGTTTAATTGTTTTATTTATTTTTCCCCCTTTTTTTTGTTGATTTTTTTCTTTTCTTGTGATGGGGGTATTTTTTATTGCTTATTTATTTTTTTCTTCCTCTTCTTCTTTTTTGGAGGGGGGTTATTTTGTATATTTTTATATATTTTGTCTTGTTTTTATTGTTGTCTTTTTATTTTGTTTTTGTTTATTATCTCTATATTTAATGAAAACTAGCACAAAAACAGACAGGGTGCAATTATATGCTCCCATTTTCTTTTCTCATGTATTGTTTTATTATGAAAATCATCTAGTAATAACAACTGCAGAGCGGTTGTCAATTTGTACATACTACATGATTTAGCATTTGTTATATTACACAACTTTGTTGTATCAGCACATTAGTACAGGGTAACATTTACTCTGTGTTATTTGATTTTTTTTATCGGGAAGTCTCAGTTTATAACCATCCTCCTTAAATATACAGTCAAACCTGTGAAAAAAGGTCATCCAAGACAGAGACCGAACGTGGTCTTTATGGGCAAGTGGGCTTTATCAAAAGGTTACTTTGATCTTTGTAATCTATGACGAATTGTCGAATTGAGGCCTTAAATTTATTCGCAGGCTGTTTTTTCTCCGGAGGTGGTCTTTAACAGAGATTTGACTGTATATGATATACACCTTAAATATTTGAAATAAGTACAATTAGGTACATGCTTTCACGACTAATGATATCTGAATTTTGATTTATGAATCTTTTGGCGTTTTTAAGAGATATCGTCTATATAGGGAAAATATTATGTATAATAACGGAACAATATTATATTTTCAGAGAAAGACAGAAATCGTAGTAAAAGACAGAATATTGACATTTTCGGGGCAATTCTTGAAGCTCAGGTATAAATTTATCGATGTTTTTGGTATGGATGAATGATTTTTATTATGAAACTGACTTTCAGTAGTTTAATACAGTTTATAAGTTAAGAAATGGAAAGACGAAATATTGCAACATTTGTATGAAAATTAATATAATTCTTGAATTTATAGTAAAAAATGTCATGCAATATTAAAACACCATGCTTCAAAATGCATGCACATTTTTAAAATAAGTAAGTGTAATGAGTTAATAGTTTAAACGTTGGCGCGTGTACGAATAAAGTAATTTTAAGCTACAAATTACATGTACTGATATCGATAATGGCAATAAATAACAGTTAGAATATATTGTGATAATTTGGTTTAAAAAAATATTTTCTATCATATCTTGTTAGTCATACACTCTAGATATGTGTATGTAATTAATAAAGTTTAAAGTGATTGGAAAATAATCTATTTACTCGTATGTCGTACGCAGCTTTAAAAAATTAAAAAAACAAGAGCGTCTTTTCTGTTGTTAACGTTCGTCTAATAAAATAAACACCTTATTACGTTAAAAGGGGGCATAACTCCAAAAATATAGCTTTCGGAATAATGACCCCTTGTCTTTCAACTGCACCTTGTCAAGATATGTTTCATGTTTATAACTTTCAAATGGGCGTATTAAAGCCTTTGCACCACGACGTCAACGACGATGCAAAGACAGCTTTTTCTTCGAACAGACAAGCTAAAAATGACACAAACGATTATTGTATAAAACAATTGCTAAGGCAATATGAAGGATTAAGTTTTAATACCCTAAGGATGTAAAATTTACTCTCCTTCTGTCATCATTTTCACAGATACACACGCACATTATATTTTTCTGGTTTTTTTTAACTTTAATGGTTTTCTTTTCAGAGAGTTGTGTTTGAACGACACTGTGTAAGCCATGACACTCCATGTCCAAAGGGTAATTAGTTTTTAAAATAGTTCCATTAATTATTGATACGTTCTTTGGGTAAAAAATAGTTCTGTAAATTATTTATACGCTCTTTGTGTAATAACAATTTTAAGACAATCAGCGTCAAGAATATGACAACGGGGTTATGTAAGTTTTAAAACATAACTAGGGGTGGTAATTTAAACATTAATTTTTCTTTTTCACATGTTTAGACTTATTTCAACGCCTCTATTTCACCAAGACACTTTGACTTTCACGTCAATTGTTTCAAGTTTGAAAATGAGTTGACATTTTAAGACATAATCATAAATTAGCTGGAAAAATACCGATATATACACATATAATCATATAACATATCCAAGATGGTATTTCCAACTTTGTTTAAACAGAAATTCGGCATATGTATTACGGTCTAAATTTTGTCAAATTTACATTAAGCCATAAGGTTTTTAGAGGTACAGCATCGTACAAATATATCCGTTGAAATAACATCCTGCAGGCGGTCGCTGACTCCTCAAGTCCTGTCAGGGACATGTTAGTTATTTATCCACTTTTTACTCGGGCGCCCGCTCGTGCATGGAATCATACCTGAGGCACCGGTAAAGCTGGAAGGTAGCCATTGATCTTTGGCCTGCAACCCAACGAAATAAATAAAAAAAAATCTTTCACCTCGTCTAATAGAGTTCAGTGTGTGTACTCAACAATGTATACTAACCTCACAATTTCACATTTTATAATATTATTTTATTCAACGAGTTACACAGGCTCGCAAAATAAAATTTTATACACTTTGCTCTATAATTTCAGTATTGAACTTACACTCATTCAATATCCTCTATTTATTTTTTCCTTCAGGTCATCAAGGTGACAAAGGCATAAATGGGGACACTGGTAAGATCATGTTTTGGAGTTTGTTTATTTTTCTTTATATGATTGAATTATAATACCCTTGAGTTACAAATGAAAGATCATATTAATATCTAGATGCGTTTTCATTTGCTTTATCAATCTTAGAAGTGATTTCGTTTTCTCTTTATCATATATTAAAGTGAATTGGCTTATAATGCAAGGTCTGTAATACAATTTATAACTATGTTGATTTTATTTAGTATTAAACATAACAAATCACGAAAGAATTATACATGAATGTTGTTGGCAAGTGCGAGAATCCGATATATCACAGGTAAATATGCACCACATGTTAAACGTATGTGACACACATGTTTTACATATGGTAGAAACATATGGTTTCTCCAAGAAAGGTACCCCATATTTTTTACATATGGTGTAGACACATGTTTTTCATATGATTAACTTATGTTGTTCATATGGTAGGACACAGTGTTCCATTTATGTTTTTTATTTCAATTGTTAAATAAATTTTATCCTGAGTCAATGGTTAAGTCAAATAATATATATGCATTTAATTATGCTTATAAAAGAATTTTAAAGATCCTGTAACACAAATCTTTTATGGTTTTATATCATAAGTATGATGCTCAAATTAAGATTTATTAATTCTGTAAGTTCCAAAAAGCATTATTAATAAAAAATATTACGGAATTTTACATTTCATGTAAATAAAGGGAGGTAATAAAAAGTTTATTTTCTATAAAATCTAAGTCAAATTTTTCAATATGAAAAGAATGCATACATATAAATTGGACACATATTTGCAGTACATATTTTACATATTCTTTAATGTTTGAAAATTGTTTTATAAGCATAATTATATACATATATATAATTTCACTTAAATGTTTCAACATACAGGATCTTTAAACACTAGATATAAGTTAGATTTTATTGAGTGAACATTTTAACAAGGTCACTCCCTAGGGTACATTTCGTTAACCAATGATCTTTTAAGAATTTATGTTCAATCATGTAGAATCTGATTTAGACTTTTCAAAGTGTAAATCTTGCAGAATATATGATCATAATTTTTCATATGAAAAACACATGAAAGTTCACATATATTTAACATATGAAAACTTATTCATATGAAAAACATGTAATAACCATGAGTTTAACATATGTTTGTTGACACATGTTTTTCATATGGTCCTGTTTACATATGTTCATCTTACATATGAAAAACACATGTTCTTTAACACATGTTTTTCAAAACACATTGAACACATATGTTCTACATATGTAAAACATATGGGGTACCAAACATACAGCAAACATGTGGTGCATATTTACCTGTGTATATATAATATATATTTATATAGCAGATAATAATGTGTTCTAGAACAAAATTATTCATCATATAAATGTTTATATCTTATCTCTTAAAATTTGACCAACATTGATTTTTCAAGGAATATTTTACAAGACTGTCTAAATGGTACATTTCCATCGTTTTTTATCAATATTTGAAAAAGAATGATGAAATAAAAAGTGATCATTGTAGACCAATCCACTTAAAAGACACTCAAATAAGGTCACATAGCCTAAATACATACCTTGCAAAAGCAATAATGATTTGAAAATAAATTTCATTGTTACGTTAATACTTTGAGGACTTATTTACATGAAAATAGTAAATAAATGATAATAGCAATGGAAAAGCTGCTTTTTAAGGTGTGAATGGAGTTGACGGAACAAATGGGGTCAATGGAACAGACGGTCTGCAAGGAGATGCAGGACTTATTGGTCCTCCAGGGGAGAATGGAACCCAAGGTTTGCAAGGAGACAAAGGCATGTATGGAACAAATGGTATAATTGGAGATACAGGTGTTTGGGGCGAAAATGGGATTCCTGGTACAAATGGCTCGGCCGGCCCACAAGGCGGCAAGGTACTGTTTGCATGTAAACATAGCAAATATATTATTATATTTTTTCATCAACCTACTTCATTGATTGTACTTACAGACACAGGTTAACCTACTTCATTGATTGTAAAAAAACAGACACAGGTTAACCTACTTCAATGATTGTAATTACAGACACAGGTTAACCTACTTCATTGATTGTAAAAGCAGACACAAAGCAACCTACTTCATTGATTGTACTTACAGACACAGGTTAACCTACTTCATTGATTGTAAAAGCAGACACAAAGCAACCTACTTCATTGATTGTACTTACAGACACAGGTTAACCTACTTCATTGATTGTAAAAAAACAGACACAAAGCAACCTACTTCATTGATTGTAATTACAAACACAGGACAACCTGCTTCATTGATTGTAATATTTTCATCAAATATGATTAAAATTTTACAATGTATTTTCCATGATCAACGGAAATGATATAATTATTAAAAACTTACTTATTGTAACATTTTACATGTGTTGAATAGTTGCTTAATGCAAAACAAATTGATGTAATGGTAGACATAGAAAAATACATAGTTTTATATTAGAAGTTGACGTTCCTATATTCAGACAAAGTGTTTATTTTCACAATGAGTTATTGTAATATTTATAGATTATGTCCGTATATCATAATAGTGACGTCAGCAATTAGTCACGTCAATTAACACGTTTTGATATCGACCTAAGGGTGAACCCGGAGGTAAAGGTCTTATCGGCGATACTGGGTTTTGGGGCGGAAATGGCACACAGGGTGTAAATGGAACTAAGGGAGCCCCGGGTGAACCCGGCTTACAGGGAATAAATGGAACCATAGGGGATATTGGTCCCCGAGGTCAAGATGTAAGGAAATTCGCTGACGGTTGCCAATGCTTTAGTATGTATTTCGTTTAGTTAACATATACCACATATCTAAGTTCCTTTTGACAATGTACTATTTTTCTTTAATACGCTTACTGATTAAAACAAATTGTTTATTTCATATCAATACAGCGATTTAAATGTCAATCTCGTAAATTGATATTTATAACTTTGTTATGCATATGACAAAGCAACCTGTTTCATTGATTGTAAAAACAGACACAAATCAACCTACTTCATTGATTGTACTTACAGACACAGGTTAACCTACTTCATTGATTGTAAAAAAACAGACACAGGTTAACCTACTTCAATGATTGTAATTACAGACACAGGTTAACCTACTTCATTGATTGTAAAAGCAGACACAAAGCAACCTGCTTCATTGATTGTAATTACAGGCACAGGTTAACCTACTTCATTTATTGTACAAAACAGACATAATATAACCTACATCATTAGTGTAACTACAGACACAAGTTAACCTACTTCATTGATTGTAAAAAACACAAAGGGCAACCTGCTTTATTGATTGTAATTACAAACACAGGACAACCTGCTTCATTGATTGTAATAACAGACACAGAAGAATCTACTTTATTGATTGTAATTACAAACACATGACAATCTACTTCATTGATTGTTATTACAAACACAGGTTAACCTACTTCATTGATTAAAAAACTAGACACAATGCAACTTACTTCATTGACTGTAATTACAAACACAGGTTAACCAACTTCATTGATTGTAAATAAAACAGACACAAAGCAACCTACTTCATTGATTGTAATTACAAACACAGGACAACCTGCTTCATTGATTGTAATAACAGACACAAAGCATCCAGTTTCATTGATAATAAAAACAGACACAGGACAATCTATTTTATTGATTGTAATTTCAAACACAGGTTAACCTACTTCATTGATTGTAAAAAAAACAGACAAAGGGCAACCTGTTTGAGTGCAATTATAGAGCGATTTAACCAAGCCAGTCACTCATTGCGATAATGTTTATTAAACAAGTTAAATACAAAATAATATATGATTGAAATTCTTTATGGATCTTATCATTAAAGATAAAACATGTAACAAAAATTATAAATCATAACCGTGTTTTATTTATTTGTTGTCATTAACACAATTAAATTATTATATCATTTGCTCCTTCCTCGTCTATTTCATTGCTATAGTACAATGCAACATTTGCAAAGAGGCTCCCTGTAGGGAAATAAATTCTTCATTATAGTTATATCAATACTTCCTTTAAGGCTTCACGATAAATTTTACCTCTTTAGAGGATCACCAAAATTATTTGGTTTTTAGCAATAACTCCAAAACAAAATGGTGTTATTCTGCAGGGATGGTCCTGTATGTTCTTTTTATTGTCAAAGAAGGAGTAATATTACAAGTATTCTTTCTATTTCCCTTGAAAATATACACCTGTATTACGAAGGTTTAAAGAATAAATCGACATATACGCTTATTGATATTTTGATTATATCGACATGTACGTTAATAATATCAAATTCTAAATATGTATTTTTTATGTGAAAACACCAGCTTTAGATAGATCTGACACCTTTTGTTTCCAGAGAAACCAACATTTCTTAACCCAAATGACCAAACGATAACTGTCAGTACTACCGGTCACGTGGTAATACCGTGTTCAGGAGAAGGAAACCCCACTCCGACAGTAACGCTAAACATGCTTCCTAAAAAAGGCCGTAAACGTGCTATCAATAAATCAGGTTTGTTTTTAACATGTATATATATATCCGCTGAAAAGAATGTTTTTATGCTTACGACAAGTCGGTGGTTCTACTCAGGTGCCCGCTCCTGCCTGAAATAATGCACGGAGGGGCGCAACAGGTCTTCCTCTACCAGTAAAGCATTAAAAAGTGTTGATGTGACTTAGACCCGACCCAAAATATCAAAATGTTTACATTTTCAGAGAGCAAACTACACTTATAGGCATAATAATCCGACACTTACATTTGTCGGAATAAATTGGTTATTTGTGGACGGATTTTGTTCAAATATGGACCATACAAAATTCAACATATCATACTTATTGTTTTAATTATGTTTCGATTGAACACTTTATTTTCTGAACGTTCCCTTACACCATTGACCGTAAAAAAATTGTTTATGATAATGTATGAATCTATAATAAATAAACTTTTTATGCCAAGGAGTATAGCTTTTCTTGGAGTAAATAATGCAATTTATTAAACACTTTATATTTGGTGTTGCTTTCATTATTATTATTATAATTAATATTATTACTATTATTATTATTATTATTATTATTATTATTATTATTATTATTATTATTATTATTATTATTCTAAATACAAACACGTTGTGTTCAAAGATACTACCCAGGTAGCTGACAGAATGTTGGGATACCAAACCTTACTGAATATTAAACGGTAATTAAGTAAAGTCGGTGGTTCTACTCAGATGCCTACGTGTGCCTGAAGTAATGCAGGGAGCGGCAGAGGTCTGATGTCTTATTCAACCACTAAAGCGGGCAAGTCGGCCTATGACCAGTACAGTGCCAGCGTGTTTCAAAACCACACCGAACAAAGATATTTTGAACCTATTTTCAAAGTTCATAAAAGGAATAGAACATGTCTGTGAATTTTTTTAATTTTAAGTTTAAAATTTAGAATAGTAAATTATGATTAGATACTAATTTTAGGGTGTTTTTTTTTTGCACACTTAATTATTTATATTTTATTTTTGTGAAGGCAATGCGTTTACCCTAGACAACCCAGTCGACACGGACTATGGGCGGTATGTGTGTACAGCAACTAACCAGTATGGCTCGGCGTCAAAGATCGTCACAGTCAGCAAGCCCTGATTTGCCAGATTCATGTTGATACTTGCTACAGGCATGTTTGATTAAAACATATAACAGTATCGTGTGGGTTTTTGGTCTTCTCATCTCGGTCCTTTCCATCTTAAAATAACTGTAGAGTACATAAATAAACAACCTTTCCTTATTGGCCAATTCAAAAATGTGCGTTCTTGATAATCCAAATTGCAACATTGTTGCTGACAGTAACATGATTTTATAGTTGGTAAATTTTTGCCGTATAGATGTGTTGTAAACTTTAGCCATGTAGATGTGTGGTAAAATTTAAGCCATGTAGATGTGTTGTAAAATTTAAGCCATGTAGATGTGTGGTAAATTTTAGCCATGTAGATATGTGGTAAATTTTAGCCATATAGATGTGTGGTAAAATTTAGCCATGTTGATGTGACAAGCACATTATAAAAGCATACAGTTGTATTTCTGATGTGTGTTTTTTTGCAAAGGGGCATTTAAAACGTATCAAAATAATTAACATATCTTTCATAAGGAGCTAGATCAAATGTGTTATCTGCATTGTGTCCAAATAGGACGTGCGGGTTACTGTTCAAACATAAACTAACTGTCTATTTACTCCTTGCGGCTGAGGGTTGTCTTCACAGGTTCACCGTGCATATCCAATAACGCAGGAATGTGCAATTAACGTTAAAATAACACCGAATCTGTGCAACGCTATTACCAAAAACGAATAACACAGTAAGTAAACGCACCAAAATATTTTATTCTAAATCAAAAAGGAAATGAATAAGCGTATACGGCTGCTACGACATTATACTCTAACAAGCATTACATTTTTTTCAGGAATATGTTTACTTCTTTAGATCATTTGTGAGAAAGATAACATGATTGCCGTTTTGAAGGTGACTTTTGAGTTTCGTCAAATAAGTTTGTACATTTAACACATTGAAAACTATATTTTTTCATATTCTGTATACATCAGATATTTATCAAACTACAAGTGTCGTATAACAATAGAAGAAAGCTGGTAAAATAGGATTTAGCTACTTTTAATGAGATAACCGCCGTTGCTTCAGTGCTTCATTCACGAATTCGGCGTTACCTCGTAAATATGGTCTCAATAATGTTTTATCTGAAGTAACATGCACGTTATTGTATTTAAAGATATCAATGAAACTGAAAAATCGCCATCAATGCACTAATCAGGTTGTCATGTACACGAATGATCTTGAAAAATAAACATTTTCGTGAAAATAATTTTGATGAGGTTTGAAGTATAATGTCTCAGCAACGTACGCGCTAACTCATTTCTTTCAATTTGTTGTACAATTAATAATATTGGTCTATTTACATATCGCGATGCTCGTTTTAGCCACTAAATTGCACAATTCTGCGTTACTTTTCAACAATTCCTGCGTCATTTGCACATTCCTGCGTTACTGGATATATCAGAATTGCAGCCACCGTTTCGTAGGAGGCAACTAATGGGTTGGAAATTACGTTAAGTTCGTTGCCTACTTTCGGCACTCATATAAAGCTACTGTTAAGGACTCATATAAAGCTACTGTTTATGACTCATATTAAGATAATGTAATTTAAAATTAAATTCTCAAATGATATTTTCTCCTAAAACATTTGAAACGAGTCTAATTATAACCTTTATATATGATGTGATTTCTTCATACGATGTGGAGCTCCACTGTGGTTATATATATAATTATCAAGCCTAAAACACAAAATATGACTTTTAAACAAATCAGCAAAAGTTTATCAAGGAGAATACTCAGAATTACATTACAAATCGATAGTTAGTACAATTCTTAGTCCGATTCAAGTGAAAAGCGTTGCAACGCTTTCATTTTTTGGGGTCATTTCTTACAATAAAAATGATTATTCTGAAAAAAGGGGATGAGGGAATGATAGAAACATTTGCACACAAGTTATTGGTGCACACGTGCATCAAAAAGTACACACATCTTGTGAATATTTCCTTTAAATATGTATACAATTTTAGTCTCATTTTCGTTGAGATTTTGGCAATTCTGTATTGAAGGACTGTATTCTGAAACTTTATAATGTCATGTGTTGATTTTAAAATCCGAGGTACATTGCTGCCATTAGCATGTTCTACTTTTTATATAAAACTTCAAAAGCCATCACATATAGTCCAACACATTTACATATGAAGGGTAATATAATATATATTTGTAAAACCATCTTGATATAAAAACAAAATATAACAAGAAAAACTTTACGTCATTTGTCATAGAGATTTTTATTTATTTCATATTTTCAAAACATTTTTTTATTATTTCAGAAACAAAGTATTGAATGAAAAGTTAACCTTTGACATAAGTAGTAACGGAAAACATGTGCCCTTTATCATCTTTTTGTAATAAGTCTACTGGATTTACAAACATGTGGTGAATTGCAATTTAAGTTCAACAACAAAATTTTTCAGTTTTAACATTTAAGAAATAAAAGTTTCAATTATAAAAATTTTGCTCTAACATGTCACAAATTTTGCATTTCATTTATAGTGTCCACTTCTTTTGTCCTTTGTATTTTTTCAAATGATTTTATCATTCGTGACTGACTCAGAATAATTGATAAAACCACAAATTTTGTTTTACATGTTTGATTCCAGTTTAAGATATTCTACAGTGTTTTTAAACTCATTTTAAAGATACGTAACTTTCGGAATTCAATTTCATAAATATGCACTTATATTACCCAGTGCACAAAAAAGAAATAAACAAATAGTGTCTGAATTCACGGAAAATGTTTAAAGATACTATCTACCATTAATTTACTTTTCGATTTTAACCGGCTAAATATGGGAGTCAAGGTTTTGCGTAATTTTTAAAAATGCAAATACGATTTCACAAATGCATTTTTTGTTTTGAAAATTTAACAACGGATTAATTGTGCACTATTTGGAGTTAATTTCTGTAGATTTTTTACATGTAAAAACAGGTACCCGATTTTCCCTTTTACGTATATACATGTATGTTTACTAGTATTTTGTTTAATAAGTAGTAAACAATGCTGTTAACCTAGCCTCGTTTTCACAAAACATAATTTAGAAATGGTATCGACTTTGAATTTTTATCTTGATTTTGAGCGTGAACCATAAGAAATTGGCGGCACGCTCAAAAATTGCTTTTTTATTTCGCATACCCATTTTTTTTCAACAACTTATTTTTATCAAATTGTAAATTGGCGATTTGTTATATAAAAGTGTTTCCGTGAATATTTTTTTTTGTTAATAATATTTCCTGCCTAAAGATTTCGAATCTTTATTATCGGTTAATATCGGCAAGTTTCGGACAATATCTTAATGACCCCGAAGCTGTTTTCGCCATCTTTCGGCAGAATGTAGGCTCCGTAACTTTTAAATAATGTTTCAAGATTGTAAATAAGTTTGTATACATGTATCAATAGAATGTACTTCATTTCATTTAAACGTTTTCTGTTTATTTCATTTCATTGAAAAATGTTTTTGTTACAAGTGTCATATAATTGATGTTGCTATATATAGGTGTGACGTATATCACATTGCGCGCGCATTGTTTCCAATGGCTACCAATTGGAATAGAAACCGGATGAATTTCTTGACCTTGATCGGCCTCTTTTCTCGGGGACTTCCTCACTGGGTAAGATGTCGTCTTTGCTGCTTAAATCCAACTCTCGTAGTAATGAGCCGTATCTTAAAATAGAAACGACGTAATAAATTTGAATTGACATATCACTTAATGAGTCGAAATAGTGCTGACATTACGAATGAGCCGAATATAGTAACGGACATGACGTAATAAATTAAACCTTTCAAAAAGATGATGTGACGTAAATATGATACGACGTATTCAATAAAAATTGAGTTTGCATACAAAGCTGTGAAATTCAAAATTAAAAAAGAAGATTTATTGCTGCGAGTTTAAATAAAAATCTGAAAATGCACACTTGTACATCAACCAAAACTTAAGATGCAATTTAATTGCCGATGATAAACCGTACCTGAAAATATGGACGAATCTCAAAATTTGAAGATCCAAGTATTAAAGTAAAAAACTGTATATAGATCTACATATTATATTTTAAGTTTTAGCAATATCAAAATATAAATAAGATTTATATATGGAAGAAATTTACCATTTTATTGCATGATTATCAATTATATAGACACAAAAAGAATGTATTTTATGTGTACCTGTCATTGTCTTATTTCTACATCTTCCCTAAACCCATTATGTTGGTTTTTGTCATACCCGTTAATAAATTTATAATGTCAGAATAAATTTTTTCCAGAAAATTTGAAATTTGGTTACGGTTATTAAGCTCAAAGAAATTTTAAGGTGTTTGGCCTTTAAAAGATTTGCTGTTTTCCAAAAGAGAAACAGGTTGGAAATAAATTTCCCACTGATCTATCAGTGCTGTGAAGGTTGTATGGAGTATAGTAATTCTATGTTATTGTCCGAGGTAAAAAGAAATTTAAAATTTTGGAACTGGCTTTGCAATTTTGTAGCAAAACAACTATCAGAGATATTTGCAATGTAATCAAGGACTTTGATTACTTTGGCATTTTTTGTTCAAACGAACAAAATGCAGTAATAATCACAGCGTTTCGTCAGTTATGACCGACAGATCCTTTAAGTTCTTGAGAATATCTAAATATAATAACAACCGCCTATTCCGAAATGAAATTACAAAAAAAAACTCTTATCTGCAAGACATTGAAATCACGGATTTATATAACATGTAATATAAATCCGTGATTGAAATGCATCTTCTGCATATCTATATTTAAATAAATCCGTGCATATCGTTTCAGTATTAGTTTCGTATTTCAACGTCTGTGCATACTGGTATTAGTTTCGTATCCACTCGTAAAACTATTGATTACAGATACAATGGTTTCTCACATCAGTTCATAGGGGTGGATTACTATTTACATTGTTTTAAATTAACTCTTATCGTACGCCCTTACCGTGTTCAATATTGTTTTGATATGTGTTTCTATTGTTTACTTTTACTGATTTAATTGAAAATAAACGTTCTCCATGCGCTACAAAATATCAATAAAAACT